GTTCTGGTTGATCACAAGCTAAACATGAGCCTGCAGTGCGATGTGGCTGTGAAGAAAGCTAATGCAATCTTAGGATGCATTAACAGAAGCATTGTGTCCAGATCACGGGAGGTGGTAGTTCCACTCTATTCTTCTATGGTCAGGCCTCACCTGGAGTACTGTGTCCAGTTTTGGGCACCACATTTTAGGAAGGATGTTGACAAGCTCGAGGGTGTCCAGAAGAGGGCAACCAGGATAGTGAGGGCAACCAGGATGGTTACTGGCTAAATATCAGGAAAAACTTCCTAACTGTAAAAGTGGTTGAGCAGTGGAACAGTCTGCCTCGGGAGGTGGTGGATGCTCCTTCGCTGGACATTTTCAAGCGGAGGCTGGACGACCATCTTTCAGGTATGTTGTAGGGCTATCATTTGGCTATGCTCCTGCAGAGTGCAGGGGGTTGGACTAGATGACCTGCAAGATCCCTTCCAACCCTAACATTCTATGATTCTATTATTCGAAGTCCATTTAGCTCTAGGCCTTGAATTTGCTTATTAGCCCTTATTGCAATTGCCAAAGGTTCTAACGAAAGGATAAAAAGCAAGGGTGACAAAGGGCAGCCCTGTTTAGTTCCTCTAGTCAGGAGAAAACTAATAGAATCAAAACCATTTATTCGTACTCTAGTTTTGGACTTTTGATATACTGACTGAATTGCATTCATAAAATATTGCCCAGTATTTAATTTTCTTACCAGTGTAATGATAAAATCCCATTCCAAATGATCAAAAGCTTTCTGTGCATCAAGATATGCCATGGCTAATGGCATCTAATTTTTTTTTACTAACATAAATGGCATTCAGTATTCTACGTATTGGATCTGCTATTTGCCTTTGGGATACAAAACCCAATTAGTCTGGAGAAACATAATTTTCAATTCTAGTACTCAATCTAGATGCAAGGACAGCTGGAAAATGTTTTTTTTAAACCCCTGAATATGGGCGATGCAGAGAAAAGGATATACTTCAAAAATGGTGGATAAAAACAGTGGTTCTGGATTTTTTTAAAAAAACACCAGAAGTTATTGAGCACCGTCATTTTAAGTATAGGATATTTTAAAGATGTACTATATGTTTTTAAGTTATTATGTATATCATGCTTTTATCACGGCAAGGTTTACCTTGCCCCTGTTAGCCGCCCTGAGCCCATCGGGGAGGGCGGGGTATAAATGCGAAAAATAAATAAATAAATAAATAAATTTAAGATGGATATTTATAAAACATGTCAAATACATGTCTCATTGAAAATGAACTGATTTAAAATTAAATTTAAATTTAATACAAAGAGTAAAACTTACAAGTATCTTCTAAATTCAGTCAATAACTCCGTTTATCAGACACTTAATTATTTTTGAAGATGAACGAGCCATTATAGATTTGAAATAAAATGACATGTTCTATTTATTACATGGCTTATAACTGAGCCCATTGGTATAATTATAAATGCAATAATCATCCATGAGAGGTAATCATATATCTCAGCAGTATCACTGACTGAACGCACCTGAAATAATCTTGTATTCTTATTACATTCCCATTTGAGTTTTGCAAATTATGTATAACTTTGCCTGCTTCTATGTGGAGCATCCACACATAGTCATCTTCTAACTGTTCTCTTTCTAGGTTTTCCCCACAACCTCAGAATATTCTTTCTCAAACCTTGTTTAAAATGATGGATTTGGAAATAATGCTGTCCAAGTAAATTGTTGTGTCATCTGGATGGAAAAGTGCATGTTTTCAAATATAACCCATATTGGTGCCATTTTCTTGCCATCAGCCCCTCATGGCTATCATTTTTCCTACCATGCCACCAAAGTTTTTTTTTGAAGGCTTAAAAAAAGAAGTGCTGTAGTTTTGTATGCTGCAACATTTACTGATTTTTTTTTAAACCTCTCAGAAAGTGCTTTGGTGGTACAGCAGCAAAAATGGCAGCTGTAAAGGGCTTACTGCAGGAATATGTGAAGAAAACTCCAAGCTTAGTTGCCAATACAAAAGCCTCTGCATTTGCACAATCGCTAAGACCAATGCAACAAATCCTTGCTGCGTGGAAACAGTTTTATCAATGAAATGGCATGGATGTTTACTTTCTATCTTAAGGGGGGGGGAAATGGCTCTTTTTGTATTTTTGCATTTGGGTGGGTGTGTGCCCGTGCCTGGAAGTCATGGCAACCTCTGGTGACTCCTAATAGGCCACGGAGGACATTCAGAGAAGTGGCTTGATAGCCTGCCTTTGGCCTCCCAGGCCCTGGTATTTCTCTGGAAGTCTCCTATCCAAATACTTGGGTCAGCCCTGCTTAACTTCCAAGATCGGGTTTGCCTGGGTGCAAAGATACCGGGTAGGTCACCTAGTAGGTCCCCAGGTCAGGTGCAGACAGGAAGCCACAAATTTAGTTTTATAAAAACTTATATTTGAAATTTAGTTGGAAAAATACAGAAAAGGGCACATTCTACCCAACATAGTTCTAAAAGTCATACAAGAAAACAACAAAAGCTACCTTAACTGCCTGACTTACTATACTCTGGATCAGGCGGCACAGAAGTACAGGCCTCTATGTAGCATGGTCTATATCTCTGGCAATTGCGAAGCAGCAAGACAGGCTTTCGATCACATAGAAACTCAGGTAGCCTCTGGTACTACTGACACATTACAGTTATACTTTTAGGGTCAAGGGGTCAGGTGAGAATGACAACCAATCAATACCCACTGCTTCTGTATGGTTCCAGAACTTTACGTCATACACCCTGCTCCTATCCCTCCCAACTCAAGGAACAAATCTCATATGAAACTAATTTACGGCCATGGTGTTATGTCCTTGATGGATGATAAGGAAGCAGGCCCCTGCAGCTAGTTAACAGCACCTGCAATGGAGACCATTAGTATTAACATTAACCCTTAAGTGTATGACAAAATTCAGCTTTGCCGCACATCGGGCTATCCAGGCCAGGCCAGAAAATACAATGTTTACCCATACCATCCCCCAGTTCTATTAAGTTTTTTGGCACCTAGTTTTCAAGCAGCTAACCTTGCTTAGATGAGTTGCATATTTACAAAGAAAGCCAAAGAGGTTACTTTCATAATTGCACCCTTTATCTCTAACCAGATATAGTTATGCACCACAAAAGCTCTATGGACTGTAAAATCAAAGGTTTTGAAACTGGACGAAAACCAATGCACAAGTTGTAATAGCCACCTAGGATGCATCTTTTTCAGGAAGCATGTGGATTAGAAATTGAAAATGTTTGTATTTTCCATAGCAATTTAAATTAGTAATTCAGTTTTAAAATCAGTCCATTTTCCTTCCAAGGAAATTTGGTTAGGATCGGGGTACCTGTCTTTTCTCATCACAAAACAGTAACAATATCCTATACCGTGAACTGATCGAGAACATAGCACAGCTTTGAGATAGTCCCACGGTTATACAGAAAAGCAACCACTGGACTTCTGTTAAGCTTTTAAAAAGCTAATGACTTAACCAAGCAGAACAGCTATCACCATGAACCATAAACACATAATCTAGAGACAGTACATATTACAAACACTTACCAGAGTTGTAGCTTTATTCTGCGGCCATCCAGAAGTATTGTTGTTGTCTTGTAATCTATACCTGCGGGGAGGCGGGAAGGCAGAATTTTAAAATGGTAGATCATTTCTGTTCTTCAATATGGGCTAACTGATATGATGGCCTCTTCATGTTTCTGAGTGGCTGCTGTTCCATTTCCCTGTGAAAGCAGGTTTTCCATGATAAATTCACACCACAGCCACTACTGTGCTGGGTTATAATTAAGAAGTTTTAATATTTTAGGTTTTCATTATGTTTTAGATGTTGTAAACTACTTCAGCCAGGTTTCATGACAGCATAAAAATTACCTAAATAAATATTATGCTATACCCCCATTAACATCCAACAGTTCTTGTGCACATAAATGCAGCATCACCCCCTTCCTCTTTTTTTAAGCATGTGTATCAAGGAAATGTCTCCTGATTTCTCAGAAACCATTCGTTCTTTTTTTCACCCCCACAAAAGTTCACAGTAGTCCCTTACATCATCTTCCCCCTTTCTCTCTCTTATATGTGTGCTTGCATGTGTATATGCTTGTCTGTTGTGTACTAATGGCGACCGCGCACACGGTTGCCTTTCCATGTGGCCATGTGAACGAGTCTAGCTTCGCATCCCTAGACAATAGAAGAAGAGGATCCTAGAACCAAGCTATCAGCTCGCCCGGATCCTCAAGGGAACCTATGGTTGCAGTTACTTTGGATATAATCCTATCACGGGTGTGGGTGTGAGTGTTGGGTGTGGTGTGTGTGTGTATTTAAAGCGACCTCTGGCCAGCTACTGTATCTCAAGTTTTCCTAACTCTTAAGTAAAGTATGAGCTGAAATCACTACACTATGCTTCAGTCTCAGTACTTTATACTGTCACACACAGAGGCTAGGACAGAAGTCTCTGGAACAGAAGGGAGTAAGAAAGAGAGAGACCAAAACCACAGATGTTACAGCTCATTCATGACCACCACGGGGACTTGCAGTCAGAAAGTAGCTGCAAGTTCCCTATGGGAACTCAACCCCAACATACTGCCAGGTCCTCATTTAGATCAGGACCATTATTTAGGGGAAGAAGGAGCTTCAGCCTCCCCACACCATTTTCCTGTGTCCAAAGGGCCCAGGGTGTATATGGGGGAGGGGCTCCACGTGCATTGATGTGTGTGTTTGTATATGTATTGGGAAGAATTCCAAACTAGTCAGTATCAAAGTCATCTTAAAATTCACTCACAGGAGGCTGAGATTTGTGATCAGATCTCCTGTCTCTTTAATTTCAATCAATGGGGGGAATCAGGATTGCAGGCATCTTTCTTTGCAAACCAGGTAAACCTAATACAAGGTGTGCAGCAAGAACCTTCAACTAAAAAAAAATGAGAATTGCCCACTTTGTTCTTCTAAACTTTTTAATTACCCATAATCATACATTAATAAAATGCAACAAACAGAAAACTCAACAACCCCAAAAAAGGTTTGCCTACTTTTTCCAAAGACAGCATTAGGAGGCTGCAGATACCGCTTGGACAAAAACCACAGAAGGGTAGGAGAAGCAACTGGTTATGGTTATTCATGACCTCAAAAACCTCTCCTCCTGGCTAAAGGAGAAAACACACCACTGACTCACCGCATCACTTTGTAGATATGTCTTGGATCATGGTAACAACATTGCTGGAGCCAACTGACACAATACCAATTGGTCTCTTCACACGTTAGGGAGTACACAAGTTGGTCTGGGTCTTCACCCTGAGTCCTGTGTAAGAGTCACTCGTTACCTGCAGTTTCTCCTAAATTTCCATGTGTGTGGTATCCTGTTAGAATGTGACCGTGGTGCACATGAAGAAGAGGTTTTAGCTTTCCCCTTCCGTATTATTTTCCTGACCTGAAACAAATGGGAGAGGGTATATGCTATTTATCTTACTGGGGAAATCCAAATGGACCAAATATTACATCTCTGGGGCCATTGCAGGTCAGGAAAACAGCTGGGGGAAGGGGAGGCTGAAGCCCATTCTCCACATGTGCCACAGTTATGATCCAAATCAGTCACTGCATATATACTCCCCCCTTCCCAGAGCACTTTTGCATAAGTGACTGATGAACACACATGATGTACTTAATTATCTATGTGGTTTTTCTTAAAAAGACCACAAAGAGGTACAAAGTCTAGAGGCACTGCCTTTTCAAGATCAGTTTCTAACACCATATAATACCTGCAATTTTTATGTATCTATCCTGTAGCTCATTGACATAAGATAACTAATACTGTATTGAACACCATCAAGTCTTCACCAGCCATTTGTTTCATATATTGTATTAGTGTATGTAAATGTTTCCGGCATTTCACATCACATTCCAGTATTTTTGTGTAATAAATACTAGCTCACATTCTTTCGTCTAAAAAAAAAATCCACCAGTGAAGAGGCACAGTACTCTGGAAGACGTGTCTAGATACCTGGGTAAATGCTCTTTAAAAACACATGAAGGGTATTTGTGGGTTTACATTTAACCTTGATCAGGCTGCATTTAATTAAGGCTTCTAATATGGATTTCCTCAGCCTATGCAGGGGGCTCATCTGTTATTAGCTAATCTACATTAAATTAATACTGTGCACAAAATTATCACATTTTCTGATTTCAGATGGACTCCAGAAGCTGCTAAGCTTGCATGGGACGGAAATAAGAAGAATTTTAAAAAAATTATTTCATGTGGAAAATAGTTCCAAATGCAGTTTTTCATTTGACATATGCTGTCTTTGGAAAAAACCTGCCATATTTTCACCCTTATACTTCGCTGTCTTCTAGTTTAAATTTTGGCAGTGTTTCAATTGTATCTGGGTTTATTTCAATATTCAAGGCAACAGGTCTACATATGCTTTTTCAGTCCATATCATATAAACATCCTTACAAGAGGCTAACCATCTGGCAGCTAGCAGGCAAGCATGCAGGTTATTAACCAAAATGATAGTGTAACCCATGCAGTTTTGTAGCTGAACAGCATACAGGGATCAGGAACGCCTGCTTTTGCCAATAGGTGGTGTGGCAATTAACTCCCTTTTCCCCCCTTCTATACTTAGTTAATGAGCATGCTCAGTGCTTGTAGCCTTCCCTAAAGGAGGCCGGGTATTCCCAGCAGCCAGCAGTTCAGCCTGGCCCAGAAAGAGGCAACATCTTGGGGAGAGGCCTATATAGACTTTGCTGTGTTAAGGCCTGCCTTGAATTATTGCAGGTAAATGCTGTTAACTAATGTAATTATTAGAGATTCTTTCAAACAAAGGTGAAGTTACATCTTGGGAAGTTATTAAATGTTGGTTTGGGACTATTAAGATACTTAATAGTAATTTCATATGATTGTGAAAATATGTAATTTTATAGTTATTGATCCTTTTAAACATCTTCCTTA